CGCCCACCGCTTCAATTTCATCACCATAAGGAGCCCGATGGAAGATCGGTTTCTCCCCATTCGAGAATTCCGAATGCGGCCAAACGGATCCGTGTCACAGATCTCGCTTATATACAAGGTGTCCCGATAAATTTCAACCAACATTTTCCTTCCAAAAAAAAAATATTACAACTTTGTTAATAACAAACAAAACTATCGAACGACGGTAGTGTTGGCTATGAGCTGCAATCGAGCACGAACAAGTGCAAGCAACGAAAAACAATACTTTCAATATACTTTCTCCTCTTGAGATGTGTTGCTTCCACTTGTGTATCTTTCTCGCCTTTTCCAATGTTTTTTTTTTTTTTTTTTTTTTTCGAGTCGATACAAAACCCGTGAACGAAAATTGTTGCAACGTTTCTGGGACACCCTGTGCACAATGTACGTACGAACGTTCTCGGCCGAGGGATCGGATTAGAAATTCGATCGAGATTCGAATCGCGTTCGAAAATCGAATCCGTAATCGCGTTGCATCGTTGGATGATGGAGAGAGGGAGGTGGAGGGCCTGCTCAAAGCGTCACGTCTTTGAGAGGATTCCAGGATTGCTACGTACGCTCTATCTTTACGCGAGGATCCTGTGTGCCGTGATCCCCGCCTCTTTGTACCGGATACGGAAATTATGGGCGGAAATTCGGCGAGTTTGCGGAACGTGGCAAGTGGGGGAGGGGAGGAGGCTCAAAGGTTCCGTGATTAATCGCGTTATGGGGGTTTGTGGGTCAGCCGTTCATCATGGCCAATCTTGTTTCCGGTTAAACTCCTTCAACAGGAGCCGATTCTTATTTACTTTCTTATTTATTACTTTTGAATTTACTGTATTTTATATTTCAAAATTTATATATAGATTGTGAAGCTTATCTAAAATTGAGGTCAACTCAATTTTGGAGAACCTTCCTTCCCATATTTCCTAAAATTTTACAATCTTTAATCCAAATTCGAAACCAAGTCTGATCTACATTAAGACTCCCCTCCCCCTCTCCAAAAAAAACCTAAAATAAATTGCCACGCAAGTTTGTGCACAACCTTGAAAAGTTTCATCAAAGAAATCGGCAATATAGGGGAGAGATGAAAAAGAAAGGATGCTCGAATCCAAAAGTAATTGGCACGCGCGTGGCTGACGAGGACGCAGCGTGACAAAAAAAAAAAAAAAAGAAGACACGAATATTCGGCTTAAGTACGACAGAGGGGGGGGGGTGAGAAAGAAACGATTCGAGGGAGGAACGACGGATATGAATTTCTGGAAAGGTTTGCTCAAGCAAATTGCGAAATGTAGCCCGTACCACCACAGAGGGGTACGAGAGAGGCAGGGAGGGGGAGGGGAGGGGGGGGATTGAACCCCTAAATTGCGAGGCTTTTCGTCTTCGTTTCTATCTCCTGTCGGATGACGCGCAATCCTCGGTTGACGCTCGAAAAACGAATTTTCGACAGTGATGTAACGCCGTCTGGATTTCGCCATCTTTTCCTTCCACACGATCGATCAAAAAGTGAATTGTTACTTGTTAACGAATTTTAAAAAAACAGCGATACGATACATATATCGATCTTGTTAACGTATTGAACGTAGTATCAGAAAAAAAAAAGAGAGAATATCCAGTAAAATATCGATTTTTCATATGTAAAATTCAAAACGAAGGGATTGCAACACCTGCGTTGAATATGTATACAAAAAAAAAAAAAAAAAAAAAAAAAAGGAAGGTGAATTCTTGAAAAAGTCATCCGTCGTAGGATGAATTGATACTATCTATTACACTCTCCTAACCTCAAAACAAAATAAATTGCTCGACTAATTGTTAATCAATAACGATAATCCAATTATGTACAAGTGTACATAACCTCAAATTACAATTCGCATATATATGAGAGAATATTACAATCTACATATATAATTTTATCAACTGGAAAATTCGGAGTTAAAATCTTTGATAACAATTTAAAGAATTCAAATTTCGACAATTCGATGATCGTTCAAAGGGTTTTTACCGTTTCGATTTTAGGGAGGGGGAGGGAGGGATGCGTCGAAACTGCGACGGGGAAGAACTCGTCATTAACGCAACTACGCGTTTCGAGAGCCCGTAATTAACACGATCCCGATTGCTGCCCGCTCAATCTCCCGTAAAGTGCACTCTACCCGCGCGTGATACCCGACCACTCGTCGAAATCGTTTCATTCCGTGATTATTATCGAGGAACGAGCGTATTAATTAAAGCCGCTCGATTTGATCACAGGCGTAAACTTTCTACGAATAATAATTCAATTTACCGAAATGTTCATCGTTGCTCGTCCAATTTACCATTTTTTATCGTCCTAAGGCAAAAGATTTCAAAAGATTTACGTGCAATTTCACTTTTGCGCGTACACAATATTTCGATACTTTTCAACGATGCGATTTCATGGATGGAACATATTGTTTCGAAATATTTATAAACACTTGTCTTCGAATTCATATAGCCATTGGATTTAAAATCCATTTCATTTCAACCTTCGAACCATTTCATTTATTCCTTCATTGCGATCGTAATATTTTTGCGGGATAATCAGAAATTTTCTTTCGTAATTTAAAACGAAATTATCCGTTCTTCTCTTGCGAGAAGTTTTAAGACGCGGTGGACACGAACGAAATGCGAAAGATTAGAAGGAAAATTCCAGGGCAGAATCGTTCAAGAGGATGGCAAAATCTCGTTAGTCTCGTCTCGTGGAAGACATAGCATTCTTGTCACATTTTTCGATCGCGCACAGAATTCGGAATGGAATGATATTTCGGAGGTTTCACGATACTCGAAACGCGCCGATAACCGAAATCAGAAACGATCTTCGAGGTCTGCTCACGACTAACCACCATTATTTTAAATATTACTCCCGGGTTATATCGTTAAAATTAGTCCACTAGTTTATGTATTATATTATTATTATTTCTTTTTTTTTTTCGAAATGAAATTTAAAAGTCTAATTCGCGGTTGAACGATCCATTTCGTTTACCTCTACTTGACTGAACCGTTGTTTCGTCACCGAATTATCGTCCACAATTGGACGCAATTGTAGCTCAACTAAGACTTCCGGTTTCCGATCGGAATTAATTCGAATTATCTGTTTGAACGTTTAATTCGCTGGAATGTTTCGCTCGATTTGCAGAATCGATGATTTGTAGGTGAGATACTGAGTGGTCAGTCACAGAAGATTTCGTACACGAGTTAAATTGATAAATAGAGTATAATGGATTTTACATATGGAGCATTTATTTTTTAATGGAATTAAATCATTCGAAGGAGTGAAAACAATCAAATTTTCTTTCTTTTTTTTTTTTTTTTTTTTTCAAATGACACGAGATGGAACAACGTTTTAAACTATAAAATATTCAGAGTTTTAATGCTCTGTTACCTTGTTGTAAAAAAAGTATTTTCAGATAAAGTTATACGCATATAATATGAAAAAAATGATAAAAATTTGAAGCTCGATTTCACGCATTTAAAGAGAATTTCCATCGAAAGATAAATTGTTCCATGTATAATCGATCATTATAGAAATTTTTATCGAAATCTGATTTTTCAAGATATTCATTATAAATGAATTTTATTATAAAATATGGAGATTTTTGCGATTGATTGTTAATTTTAATTGAATTATGAACTTTTGTAAAGGATTTTGATTTTCTTTTTTCTATACATTCTTGACTGATTGCATGTATGTTTCGCTATAAAAATCGAGATAATCGGATTTTTCAAAGGATCGAAAAATATCAGAATTCCATCAGGGACGGGGTTGAAAAACCTTATAAATTGTCAGAGGGACGTGCGTGGGTTGCAATCGATGTTCATCGATGGAAGAGTGAAAAATAGAATACAGGCTGTTGTCCCAGTTTAATCGACACACGCAATTATCTCTCGTACGACACGTCGTGTTTGAAATATTGATAGAAAATAATAAAAGAAAATAAAAAATCGAGAAACGTTTAAATGAAATGTGAATGGTACCTCTTTTCACGGAAATTAAAATTTTATATTGAACGATCGTAATATAATTTTTGATTAACTATAAATACAACTATATCGACCTATTTATTCGATATCCTATTTGGAATTTTGAATTTATTTTATTTTTCATATCCCAAATATTTGAGATCAAATATCTAAATGTTGGATTTAGATTTATCTATATCTTTATTTGGGATAATAATTTATCTATATTTAAATATTTAAATATAATAGTTATTCAATAACCTATTTAATAATCTATGATTCCATTTAAGCATTATGAATGTTATATAACTATTATATTTAATTATTAGAATATTTGAATTCATAATATGTATATTTTAAAACAGATCATATATAGATTCATTTGGCGAAGCTATGTGTCTTTGAAATAATTATTTGAAGCATATATACCGTCTGAAATAATAGATTTATATATTTGGATTTATTTAATATCTCTTATTTAATATCTCTACTTGACATTCTAAATACGAATGTGCAATAACTTATGCATCATAATTTTAGACTAATTCCAAATCAAAAAAAGATAAATCCATTATTTACAAAGACGAAATTTATATCCTTCTTTATATATACACATCTAAAAATACATACAACAAAATTTCGAAAATTTTCACTTTTCCTCGACCAATATTCCGGCGATATTAAATTATCTCAAAGACGAATCTCGTTCGAATCCAAAGACCGGAAGAAGTTCACGAATTCGTGGGGACTTGCGAACTTTCCGGTCGGGGAGTTTAGAAGCCCGAGACAAACTGCTAAATTATTTTCGATTCAATGGCTCGGAGAGGGAAGAAGAAGTAAAGACCGAGGGAGATAGAAGAAAGAAAAAGAGAGATAAAGAAAAAAAGAGAGAATTCCTTGTTACAGGGGTCGTCCATTAAATCGGCAAAGTCCGCAGACTCCCTGGAGAGAACGAAGAAAGAAAAGTTCCTCCGGCTAATGACGCGGCACTTTTAAAACGACCGGACTTACGCGCGCTGTCCCTGAATCATTCTGACCAGCATAAATATTCGCGAACCGTAAGCACGGGGATTAATTGAAAGACCGACTTCTCTTGGGATAATTACACTTTCCGAATTTCATGGCATAACAAGTTGTTATCTCTTATTCTTTAATGAAAACAAAGAAATTTCTTGAAGTTAACTTGTATGAAAGAGCTTTCGCGAAAAGTTTTCGCAAACTTTCCTAAAAACATGCGAATCGCGCGATAAAATCAACATATTTTTTACTTTTTCCTATTACAGTGTCCAATTAACTGTCGCATTGTTCGGTAGCTTAATTTTCTCAATATTTATTCAATATTTTGTTTAGAAATAAACAACAAATATCACTTCTTAAAATATCGTGAACGAATCTGTGAACCGTATTTTTTAAAACGTATACTCAATAACGAATATTGTTTGCAAACATGTTCGTTGAGCAGTTCATTGCACACTGTTTACCATTCGCAAGTGTCCACACTATTGGCAAACTTATTGCGAACTATTGTGTGTATTGTATACAAACGAAAAATAGTGTGGACTTAACCTAACAAATATCATCGTCGATCGCTGGACAAGAACAATCCATGCAAAAGTAACTTACCAATCATCATCAGATTCTGTTGTCAGAAACTGTGGATGCAAACAGGAATACGTAACTTTCTTTTCATTCTTATCGTTATATTATACACTTATAAAACTGTTAACACGACTTGTACGCACTATGTAAGAATTAATATTATTTCGGCGTCAAGAATAGATGAACCACATAATTTTAGCATTTTATACAATACAAGTAACGCCAACGTCAACGCCAACGCCACCAACTGTTCTTAGCAAAAACTAATCTGTCTATTATTCCCTATCATACTAACTCCCTCTAGTATTCTCTACATATAACTCAATCCTCTATAGTCTGCTCTCTACTATGTCGTATCGTATACCTATAGTCTCCGTTTCTAATAATGCTGTTCGTCACTTACTTGAAAATCGAACTTCTCGAATTCCTGCTGCGTGTCGATATCCACGTTTCTAGGCACAATGATGGGACAGGTATCTAACGAGACCTTGGCGTCTGGTGATTCCACGTAATCCGGCGTGATGGAGGTAAGACCTCTGTCGTATCTGAGCTCTTCGTTCAAAATTCCTGCAGATGGGCCCGTGGATGGCGCCTGTGCCTGATTCACGTAGTACAAGCATAGCAACAAAGTGAGAAGGACCGCGCAGACGACGAAAACGCGGCTTGAACCGCGTCGAAGGATCTTGTACATGGTACGAAAGTTGGATTCGCTTCGGGGCAGGCGTTCCTCGATTTCGATTCACCTGGTGCCGCGATATTGGCTCGATCCCGTGTCGGTTATGCTCGACAATCGCTCCCCGACTTTGCCGCTGTCGCCTGTCGACTTCATGAGATACTTTGGCGCCGACACGATCTGAAAGAAGAAAAGTTAAACGAAATTAATAGATTTTGGATGTAAAGTGCATAAAATATGTTAAAATATACGATCTTGTGGACATATGTTTAACGACTTAAAGTTTAAAATCATCAACTTTTCTTTCGAAAAATATACGAATCTAAAAGTTAGGTTAGAATTTTACCTCGAAACATTCTTTTGTGAAAAATTTATCGATGTAAGTAAAGAAATGAAATTACAGAGTTTCGAATTGAAAAAGGAAAAAAAAAAAAAGGATTTTAAAAATTGTCGAATTCTCAAATTTCAGAAATAGACGATTTATCGGATACGGTCGTTCCGATATATTATTACGAGGAATATCGAGATTCGAAAAGCGAGATCGAATAGTATCGAATAAAAGAAGAGGACGAGAGGTAAAGTAAATAGCTTCGACTATGAATTATGAGGGCATATACAAAGACAAAGGGAAAGGGGTACTACAGGGTTGATTAAACGTCCGCGAAAATTATGACTGACTGTTCTGATTGTCCGCGAAATTGGCCGGTTCGTACGATCGATACCTATGCGTTCTCACTTTTATGACGAAATATTGAATTCGAACTTTTGAATTCGCGAAATCGTGTTCGATAAATTGAATTTATTTATACTATATTTTATTTTATTATAATTATTAATGTACAAATTTAAATATCAATAAAATTTATCATATTAAATTAATTAATTTAAGGAATTAAATTATATTTTTTTTATATTTATTCAGATACACATTTGTAATAACTTTTTTTATATTATTATTATTAGACTAAAACTTATTCCTTAATAATAAATAAATAATTTTTTCGAAATCTGCTGTCTCTCTTTCCATTCTTTTTAAGGTTAAGTGATCTAGGGTAATAATCTTAAGTAACTAGGATTCTAGAGAAAGTGATTTGTAACGAAATCGCGAATTATTTGAGGGCATCAATAATCTTTCACACGATTTTTAACATTTATTTATGTTAATAATTACATTTTCATACATTATAGATAAAATCTTATTAATTTTTACAATTTTTCTTATAGTAAAAAATACAAGTTATTCAAATTTTGCAAAAAATAAATTAGAAAATGTTAATATTACAATCATTTATGTTTCTAGGCACGATATTAAAAAGAGTAAATCGTTCAAATAACCAGAATCATTAGAAAAGTTCGAAGGATGAAAATTATTGGGGATTGAGAAGGATTGGAGAAGTCGTAAAAATTTTAAGAACACGTGTATCTAAATTGAAATGAGCGAGAAGAAATGAGGACGAGGAAGGAACGATCCAATTCCGATGAGAACAATAAATACGACCTGGTGAACCAGAGACACGGTTTCCCAGAAACCTTCTGTCTCTCGACGTAAGGTCGGTTCGCACGCGATAATCGATCGTACCTGTCACCACCGACCCTGGCTGAAGAACGAGCCGCGATTTACACATTGAAAACTCGAATATCGATTTACTTTTCGTTTGAATTATATTGAAATTACAATCGTTAGAAGATAATGACGATAAATAAATTCGCGATCCAATTTCTTCTCATATTTATGTACATCTATTTTCTTTATAAATCTAATAATTATTTAACAACAAACGAATACAATATGTATTAAAAAATAATCAGACTCTGTATTAAATTGATGATAATTTTGTACGTTTCTTTTAATTCCAATAATTTGTTTATATATTTACACATACATCATTTTTAAATAATTTTTTCGTAAATCTAATATTTTTAATAATATCGTCAATATTATCTTCCATTGTAATTTCAATCCAACTCGAAATTAATACAAATCCAGGAAGCCAAACGTTTTTATTAAAACTCAAATTTAATCCAAGGATTTGAATAAACGTAACCAAATATTTTTCTTAAATTATCCCCAATATTAATCAAACGAGTTTTATTATTATAAAACAAAATTGTACGAACATCATGACCAATAAACTCGCCAAATATTGCACAATCCAAACGTTGAACGTTTCGCGTCACGAAAAAATCATTTAAAAAAAAGAAAAAAACAATCACCACTACATACCCTCATAAAAAAAAAATAAAAAAGCAAAGATCTTACCTTGCCTTCAACGATCCTCTCGCTCTCCCGTGACGAATCAACGGGCGATCTTCGATCCTTTCCTGTTGGAGGGGCGCGAGCGTGATGGCGAGAGGGGAAACGGGGGCGACGAGTGGCCAAACCCTTTTGTCCAACGAGCAGACGTGTCGAGGGTGCTCTCTCTATCGCGATTCACTCGATACGGTTGGAACCGTGGCGAGGCCCCTTTCCAGCTTGCGAGGAAAGGATCGGTTTTCTTGATTCTTCGATTTCGAATCCTGGATTTTGCCCTTTTTTTCTCGAGCTTGGTTTCTAGAATTCGAGGAGCAGGGAGTTGTTAATTCAAAAAATTATTCTTTTTTTTTTTTTTTGTGGAAAAATTAGGGAAAATAAGAGAACAATGCGAAACGAGAGAGAGAGAGAGAGAAAGAGAAAAGAAATTTATAGATGTAATTTTGTAAGAGAATTTATGGGATATTGGGGCGAGAAATGTTTTATTCGAGGATCAATTTATTTTTGGATATAATTTCGCGAGAAGATTAATGGATATTTAACCTTAACGTTTTGTCAATGCCTGTTGTTCGTAGCTACAAATTTTGGTGGATATTACTTCACACCTACGAGAAAAGTTGGCCGCTTATACACAGTGTACGCCGTTTGATTAATGCGTAAAATCTAGGAAGCGGTCGTATTTTAATAACAAATTGAATTATAACGTAACCACCTCTCATCGTTCGCGTTTCGCGAAAAAAATTTCACGAAAATTAATAAATACCTGCAATTTCGTGTGCGTGTGTGTATACGTATATAATATATGAACCAGTGTTAATTTCAATTTATAAATGAAAAAAATATAGTGTAATTTTATAACCCGCATATTCAACAAACAAAACGGAAGAAAATTGCCCCCGCGCGAAATTGAACGAATCAATCTCTTTCGCCCCAAATTCCTCCGTTCCTAAATCCGCATTATCCGTTCCAACGCGGGCGAACCTCGCGTTTAATTTTAACAATCGGCATAACCTCGCTTTTAACGTTCAATTTTCATCGAACCTGACACCCCCTTTTTCTCATCCGAGAGCGAGACAGAGAGAGAGAGAGAGAGAGAGAGAGAGAGAGAGAGAGAGAGAGAACGAGAGCGAGAGAGAACGAGAGAGAGAGCGAGAGCGAGAGAGAACGAGAGAGAGAGAGAGAGAGAGAGAG